AGGAGCACCTGAATACATAAGACAAATGCTAACAGCCATAGAATGGGAAATCGAAAGTAACACACAATCATACTAGGGGACTTTAACACCTCACTTTCACCAATGGACAGATCATCCAAAATGAAAATAAAGAAAGAAACACAAGCTTTAAATGATACATTAAACAAGATGGATTTAATTGATGTTTATATGACATTCCATCCAAAAACAACAGAATACACTTTCTTCTCAAGTGCTCATGGAACATTCTTCAGGATAGATCGTATCTTGGGTCACAAATCAAGCCTTGGTAAATTTAAGAAAACTGAAATCATATCAGGTATGTTTACCGACCACAACGTTAAGAGACTAGATATCAATTACAGGAAAAAACTGTAAAAAATACAAATACATGGAGGCTAAACAATACACTACTAAATAACCAAGAGATCACTGAAGAAATCAAAGAGGAAATCAAAAAATACCTAGAAACAAATGACAATGAACACACGATGACCCAAAACCTATGGGATGCAGCAAAAGCAGTTCTAAGAAGGAAGTTTATAGCAATACAGTCCTACCTCAATAAACAAGAAACATCTCAAATAAACAAACTGACCTTACACCTAAAGCAATTACAGAAAGAAGAACAAAAACTGCCGAAGTTAGAAGAAGGAAAAAAATCATAAAGATCAGATCAGAAATAAATGAAAAGGAAATTAAGGAAATGATACCAAACATCAATAAAATTAAAAGCTGGTTCTTTGGGAAGATAAACAAAATTGATAAACCATTAGTCAGATTCATCAAGAAAAAAAGGGAGAAGACTCAAATCAGTAGAATTAGAAATGAAAAAGGAGAAGTAACAGCTGACACTGCAGAAATACAAAGGCTCATGAGAGATTACTACAAGCAACTCTATGCCAGTAAAATGGACAACCTGGAAGAAACGGACAAATTCTTAGAAAAGCACAACCTTCCAAGACTGAAGCAAGAAGAAATAGAAAATATAAGCAGACCAATCACAAGCACTGAAATTGAAACTGTGATTAAAAATCTTCCAACAAACAAAAGCCCAGGACCAGATGGCTTCACAGGTGAATTCTTTCAAACATTTAGAGAAGAGCTAACACCTATCCTTCTCAAACTTCCAAAACATACTAGAGGGTAGGAACACTCCCAAACTCGTTCTAGGAGGCCACCATCAAACTGATACCAAAACCAGACAAAGATGTCACAAGCAAAGAAAACTACAGCTCAATATCACTGATGAACACAGATGCAAAAATCCTCAACAAAATACTAGCAAACAGACTCCAACAGCACACTAAAAGGATCATACACCATGATCAAGTGGGGTTTATCCCAGGAATGCAAGGATTCTTCAACATATGCAAATCTATCAATGTGATACACCATATTAACAAATTGAAGGAGAAAAACCATATGATCATCTCAATAGATGCAGAAAAAGCTTTTGACAAAATTCAACACCCATTTATGATAAAAACCCTCCAGAAAGTAGGCACAGAGGGAACTTACCTCAACATAATGAAGGCCATATATGACAAACCCACAGCCAACATCGTCCTCAGTGGTGAAAAACTGAAACCATTTCCTCTAAGATGAGGAAGATGACAAGGTTTCCCACTCTCACCACTATTATTCAACATAGTTTTGGAAGTTTTAGCCACAGCAATCAGAGAAGAAAAAGAAATAAAAGGAATCCTATTCAGAAAAGAAGTAAAACTGTCACTGTTTGCAGATGACATGATACTATACATAGAGAATCCTAAAGATGCTACCAGAAAACTACTAGAGGTGGTCAATGAATCTGGTAAATTAGCAGGATACACAATTAATGCACAGAAGCCTCTTTCATTCTTCTACACTAATGATGAAAAATCTGAAAGAGAAATTAAGGAAACACTCCCATTTACCATTACAACAAAAAGAATAAAATACCTAGGAATAAACCTCCCTAAGGAGACAAAAGACCTGTATGCAGAAAACTATAAGACACTGATGAAAGAAATTAAAGATGATACAAACAGATGGAGACATATACCATGTTCTTGGACTGGAAGAATCAACATTGTGAAAATGACTATACTACCCAAAGCAATCTACAGATTCAATGCAATCCCTATCAAACTACCAATGGCATTTTTCACAGAAGTAGAACAAAAAGTTGCACAATTTGTATGGAAATAGAAAAGACCCCGAATAGCCAAAGCAATCCTGAGAAAGAAAAAAGGAGCTGGAGGAATCAGGCTCCCAGACTTCAGACTATACTATAAAGCTACAGTAATGAAGACAGTATGGTACTGGCACAAAACCAGAAATATAGATCGATGGAACAGGATAGAAAGCCCAGAGATAAACCCATGCACCTCTGGTCAACTAATGTATGACGAAGGAGGCAAGAATATAAAATGGAGAAAAGACAGCCTCTTCAATAAGTGGTGCTGGGAAAACTGGACAGCTACATGTAAAAGAATGAAATTAGAACACTCCTTAACACTGTACACAAAAATAAACTCAAAATGGATTAAAGACCTAAATGTAAGGCCAGACACTATCAAAGTCTTAGAGGAAAACATAGGCAGAACACTCTATGACATAAATCACAGCAAGATCCTTTTGGACCCACCTCCTAGAGAAATGGAAATAAAAACAAAAATAAACAAATGGGACCTAATGAAACTTCAAAGCTTTTGCACAGCAAAGGAAACCATAAACAAGATGAAAAGACAACCCTCAGAATGGGAGAAAATATTTGCAAATGAAGGAACTGACAAAGGATTAATCTCCAAAATATAGAAGCAGCTTATGCAGCTCAATATCAAAAAAAACAAACAATCCAATCCAAAAATGGTTAGAAAACCTAAATAGACATTTCTCCAAATAAGATATACAAATCGCCAACAAACACATGAAAGGATGCTCAACATCACTAATCATGAGAGAAATGCAAATCAAAACTACAATGAGTATCACCTCACACCAGTCAGAATGGCCATCAAAAGATGTACAAATAATAAATGCTGGACAGGGTGTGGAGAAAAGAGGACCCTCTTGAACTGCTGATGGGAATGTAAATTGATACAGCCACTATGGATAAGAGTATGGAGGTTCCTTAAAAAACTACAAATAGAACTACCATACGACCCAGCAATCCCACTACCGGGCATATACCGTGAGAAAACCATAATTCAAAAAGAGTCATGTACCAAAATGTTCATTGCAGCTCTGTTTACAATAGCCAGGACATGGAAGCAACCTAAGTGTCCATCAGCAGATGAATGGATAAAGAAGATGGAATATATATACACAATGGAACATTACTCAGGTATAAAAGGAAACGAAATTGAGATATTTGTAGTGAGGTGGATGGACTTAGAGTCTGTCATAGAGTGAAGTAAGTCAGAAAGAGAAAAACAAATACCATATGCTAACACATATATATGGAATCTAAACAGAAAAAAAAAAAAGGTTCTAAAGAACCTAGGGGTAGGACAGGAATAAAGCCACAGACGTAGAGAATGGACTTGAGGACACGGGGAGTGGGAAGGGTAAGCTGGGACGAAGTGAGAGAGTGGCATGGACATATATACACTATCAAGTGTAAAACAGATAGCTAGTGGGAAGCAGCCACATAGCACAGGGAGATCAGCTCGACGCTTTGTGACCACAGGGACAGGGTGGGTGGGAGGGAGGGAGACGCAAGATGGAGGAGATATGGGGGTATATGTATAGCTGACTCACTTTGTTATAAAGCAGAAACTAACACACCACTGTAAAGCAATTATACTCCAGTAAAGATGTTAAGGAAAAAAAAAGAAAAAGAAAACTCCGCCACTACAGGATGTCATAAATTGAAAAATGTGTCTAGAATATTAAGAAAGCATTTTAAGATAGATGAAATACAATAATTCAGCTTATCTGGGATGAACCCAGGGTTGTGAAGGAGTACTGGAAAATAATGCTGGTATTCTGCCTCTGAGTCTCTTTTCTCACTTTTAGAATAGTAAAGTGATGATGACCAGGGGCTGTTTTGAGAAAATAATTTAACACACTGTGCATTTCAGGGCCAGGAGTTCCAGACCATGTGTTCATCCCCTGCTTTGGAGAAACCCTGCACTCTAATCAAACTAACTAATACATCCTATTTCTGCTAATTGTGACTGATCTCAGGGGAAACAAAAGAGTCACCAATCATATGGTATATCTCATTGTTTTTAAAGCCAAGGTCTATGCTACTCGTGATTCTATGAAGCTCCCCCTGATGCTCAATTTAAAATATTGTTTTCTTTTTTTGAACTTCTTTAGCATTGCCTCTCAAATAGTATTTGTGTGGTTTATCTTTTCCCTAACTGTAAGTCCCTTTGGGTCAGGATCCATGACTGGTTCACACCTGTAACTCTCAAGGAACCTTACAGTGCCTCACACGTTACAGGTGGTTAATAAATGTTTGTAGAATGAATAATTGAATAAATATACAGTACCAGAAGACTATAATTAAATACAAATCCCTCAGACTTCTCCCAGCTCTTTTCAGGCTTTCCTCACAGGGCTCATTTTGTAAACCTTTAATCATTTTAGTCACTCTCCAAGTTCTCATGCTTCAGCTATAGGGTCTCAGGGAGAGCAGAGTTCTTTCCTAACCACTGCTTTACAAAACACCATTTAGTAAATTCAATCAACTTTCAAATCACTTCCCCGGGATGGCAGTCAGTGTTTGGTCTCAAAATATTTAAAGCACCTTACATAGGCAGAGTACTAAATTCCTCTGAGGAAACAAGGGACAACATGAGCATAAATATAAGCAGCAAGAAACTTTCTACCCATCGCTCACAAATTCCAATTATATTACCGATGATTATACTTGTATGGGGGGTTGGGGGGGGTGGGTGGGAGGAATTCGGAACTAACAGAAGTCATAAAATGTATGACTATCAGAGAGAGGAAGAAAATAAGGGGGAAAGATCAGTGATTGAATTTTAACCTGTTCCTCTGAAAGATAAAACAAAGATGGATTGTTCATCTTTTATTATTATATAGCTTAGTAGTGGAAGAAATGATTGTGGTCACTACATGTATGAAAATTATGAAGGTCATGATTTAGATTAACTTGCAGGACATTTTTTATAAGGTCCCCCTTTTTCTCCTTCAGAGTGGTCCTTGAGCATCAGTCAATGTTTGGTGGCTGCTTCTAGCAAGTCTTTTGCTTCATTAATTTTGGTTGCTAAGTAAGGAGATCCACCTAAGAGGACAAAGAAAAGTAAATGGATTAAAACACACTTCATTATTGACATTTTTTAAAGTCTCAAATGAAATATAATACTTATGGAGTACAGACTTAGAGCCACTGTGCCCTAAAATAAAGTTGTCAGTTCTTTTTTAGAGTTCTTCACAATGAATTACTGCTAATGCAAAGAGCAAGAGGAAAATTGAGGTGAATTTCAAATTCAGAATCATTATAAATCACAAATAGACGCTTTTTGACATACAAAAATACTGGCCCCAGAACTGTCACGTTAAAGCTATTTAAGCATCATACGCCTTCTAACTTCTAGTCCTGAACACTTTCATTGCTTAACACTAGAACTAACAATCATATTACAGTTCACCAGTCCCTTTGTGTTTGTTTTTATTTTTTTTTCTCCCCTTGAGTACAAATGATCTATAGCTGTTGAAAACATCATAAGACCTCAGTAGCTCACAACAAACCAAACACATCTAGATAGCACTGGTGTGTTTACTGTCCTGACTTTATCCAGGCCTTTTACTGAAATCATACCACCCACTTTAAAAAGGAAAAAGAAAAAAAAAAGGGGTGGGGGGGAAGAAAGCAGGGAAACAGAACAGCATAAGGGCAATGCTGAAGGAGCTATTTTAGCTTTTTACCCTTGAGGATATCACTGACATTTTCACATCAAGATCTGAATCGCTATAAACACTTACGGATTATATCACAGAGTGCCCTTGAATATACAATAAGAAGTACAAATGAAATTGATGCAAGCTTCCATATGCACTTGATTCTGAAATAAACTGACTTCAGGATTATCTTTGAAAATGAACTCAGAATTAGGTAATGTCAATCTTGGTAACAAGCTGTTTAAATTTTGAGAGTTACCAATGTAATGCCAGGCATCTTGTATATCCTCAACAAATACTAAAATATTAATTGAACTCAAACATAACCTTTAATTGATTGATATTCATTCTGGATATTTAAATCACTGGCCATAATATGCTCATTTAGCAGAAAGAAAAAAATCAGAGGCATGGAAGATCGAAAGTCTCATTAAACATTATATTTATTGATGGCAATGTTAGAGGAAAAAAATGGACAGTTTATTCAGAATAACACTGAATTACCCTTCACCCTCTTTTAATGAGAGCGACACTGGACTTTTCAATTATGTGCATGGCATAAACTTTGGGTTCGGCACTCATTTTACCTTCCGAAAACTTGGAAAAGCTCCTAAGCCTAAAACCACGATTCCTATATTCACTTCAAGTAGTGTTTGATTCAAATTAGGATCTATCAATGTGAGGCAGTCTTGTGAGATTTGAAAGGCTGAAGAGAAAGGTTTTCTTGCTGGGCCTCTTTGTTACTGCTGCTAGCAAGTGAAATCATGGTGTAGTGATGGCTGCAGCTGTGCTTTCCTTACAGTTTCTAGTAGCAGTCCATGAGGTAGTCAATGAGTAGCTCTCCTGACAGAGCAGCTCTGTAATTACTAGGGGAGCCATTCTTGTAAGCCAAGTCTAAAATGTACTCCTTTAGACCTTCCAACAATTTTTATCCATTCATTGCCTGCACTAAATGCTCTCCTGCTTAAAACCTCTGGTTTCTGGCACTGAATCTTGACTAATATAAAATATATAGGATACATATCCTTTATTTAATGGAAACAATACAGTTTTGAATCTTTCGATCCTGCTCAGGTTTCCTGGGGGAATCATTTGGATTCCATTTAATTAGAATACTCACCCTCTGGGCTTCCCTGGTGGCGCAGTGGTTGAGAATCTGCCTGCCAATGCAGGGGACACGGGTTCGAGCCCTGGTCTGGGAAGAGCCCACATGGTGCGGAGCAACTGGGCTCGTGAGCCACAATTACTGAGCCTGCGCGTCTGGAGCCTGTGCTCCACAACAAGAGAGGCCGCGATAGTGAGAGGCCCACGCACCGCGATGAAGAGTGGCCCCCGCTTGCCATAACTAGAGAAAGCCCTCGCACAGAAACGAAGACCCAACACAGCCATAAATAAATAAATTTTAAAAAAATAATAAAAAGAATACTCACCCTCATTCTTGATTTCTGAACCTTTGTACTTTCACTAAATACTAGTGGAGCTCTTCTGCTTTGGGCTATCATGAACTAACAGGTTTTAGACCAACCCTCCCATTAACACCAACTAGAAGACTTTAATAAAATTCAAACACATCAGTATGAAAGCACTGGAGGTCTACCAAGTCAGCCAGGTCTTGAGGGCCAAGATCTTGGAGATGAGGAAATGCACTGTGATGAGCCCAATATTCTACACTGCTTTATCTCTTCAAAGAACCAGACACAAAATAGTACATACTATACAATTCCACTTACATGAAACATTAGAAAAGACACAACCTATCTATAGTGGGAGAAAGGAGAACGGTGATTGTCCAAGGTGGGGTAGGGATTGGCAATGAGAAGGGACACCAAGGAAGCTTTTGAGTTTCGAAATGTTCTATGTCTTCATTATGTTACTGGTTACATGGGTGTCTACATTTGTCAAATCTCATCAAACTGTGCATTTAAATATACATTTTATTGTACGCAAATTATATCTTAATATAGTTGATGAATTAAAACCAGCAAACTATATGTTGGTTATAAGAGACCATCTTTTTAAGAGTATAAAAAGGCATACACTAATGAAAATAAATCTGGCATTGGTATGCTAATTATCAGATGAAGTACACTTTAAGGCAAAATGCAGTACTAGAGATAAAGTGGGAAATTTCATAGTGTTAAAAGAGTCACACTTAAATTTGAACATACCTAATAACATAGCTGCAAGATATATAAGGAGAACATAGAACTAAAGGGGAAAATATACAAATCCATAATCAGTGGGAGATTTAATATACACTAGCAGAATTAGACAAAAACGAACACTAATAAGAATATCAAAAAGTTGAATAACATGATGAACAAACTTGATCTAAATGACATACTTAAAAGTCTCCATCCTACAACTGCAGAATACACCTTCTCTTAAAGGGCCCAAGCCACATTCAAAAATTGTAAAACTTTGGGAAGGTAGTCAGAAGTGTTGTGAATGATGCAAAAACAAACAAATACCAGCTTATCAAATCAGACTAAATTCACAACCAAGTTAGGTTTATATCAGAAATCCACCACTGGCTTCAACATTAGAAAATTAATCAATGTATTCATCACATTAACAGAATGAAGAATACATGTATAATCATTTCAACAAATGCAGAAAACATACATTCACAATAAAAACTTTCAGTAAGCTCAGAATACAGGGAGACTTCTTTTATGTGAGAGGACTTTAAAAAAATATAGTAAACATCATACTTAGTAGTAAAATGTTGAAACCTTTGGCTCTGACATCAGCAACAAGAAAAATATACCTATTATCATTTCTGTTTAACACTTCATTGGAGGTTCTAGCCATTGAAATAAATGCCCTCCTCTATTGCCCCACCCCGCCCCTGCAAAGGACTGGAAAGAAAGAAACTGTCATTCTTCACAAATGACATGACTAAGTATGCAAGAAAACCAAAAGGCTCTAAAGACAAAATCATAGAATTAATAACCAAATATAACAAAATGGTGGATATGACAGCAATATACACAAAAACTAACTTTTCATGCCCTAGAAATAAATAACTATATAATATAAACTTTAAAAACAACACAGTTTATAATAGCATTTGAAAAGTCAATACCTAGGGTTAAATTTAACAAATTATGCATATGACTACAAATTGAAAAATCTCATTGAAATAAATTAAAGCTGACCTAAATAAATGAAAGGATGTCTTGTTCACAGATTGGAAAAATTCACTATTGTAAAGATGTCAACTTGCCCCAAACAGATCTACAGATTCATAGCAATCCAAATCATAACCTAGGAGGTTTGTGTGTGAATTGTGCATGTGCACATGCAAATTGATGAGACAGTTCCTAACATAATAAAATGTAAAGGGCCAAACATAGCCAAAAAAACTTAAATGACAAAAAATGTAAAGAATTTACATTACCAGGGCTCCCCTGGTGGAGCAGTGGTTAAGAATCCGCCTGCCAATGCAGGGGACACGGGTTCGAGCCCTGGTCCAGGAAGACCCCACATGTCGCGGAGCAACTAAGCCCGTGTGCCACAACTACTGAGTCTGTGCTCTAGAGCCCACAAGCCACAACTACTGAGCCCACCTGCCACAACTACTGAAGCCCCTGTGCCTAGAGCCCGTGCTCCGCAACAAGAGAAGCCACCGCACCACAACGAAGAGTAGCCCTCACTCACCGCAAGTAGAGAAAGCCCGCACATAGAAACGAAGACCCAACATAGCCAAAAATAAAAAAATAATTAATTAATTAATTAAAAAAATTTATCGAAAAACTAACACTGGATATACGTTGACCTCAATGAAGTTTGATGACACTATCAATTCATACTGTCCAAAAATAACTGGGGCTCAGCAAACCCATGATCAAAACCACTGTGATGAGCATAGTAACTCGGCATTATTCTAATATAGTATTTCATTTGGTTCCTCCAACTATCCTTTGTAGTTGCGCAATTCTTATTTTCATTACATAAAGAGAACTGAATCACAAAAAAGTTTAGTTACTTGCCCAACACTAGCCACAGAGTTTAAATGAGGTGGAGTCAGGATTCCCAGGAAGGTTACCACACCACACTGTCTCTCACTCTCTTTACAAACTTCTTTGCTTATTAAATTCTTACCATGTTAAACATTTGGTTGTTATAAACCTTTTCTACTTTCTTCAAGCCGGTAACCCCATCCCAGGTCCTCTTCCTTCTTAGGAAGATTGAAATCATGCCTTGTGGTTTACTTTTAAAGTATATGTCTATCTACTCATTACATAATAAATACCTTGAAGAGCAATCATGTCTTAGATCTCTCTGTATTATCAGCACAGCTCTGAGTACACAGAAGGGAGTGGAGACGTGTCCTTGATGGGGAGAAGGAAGTGATGAATCACTATTCCCTTATTTTCT